TTTGCTTGCAAGAACAAAGTTCATTAACTCTGCCCTGCATGGGAAGCGAGCGAGCATTAATTGTGTCCTGCCAATGCTGTGGGTCCTTGCTGTCCCCCAATCTGATGCCCCCCGGGCCTTTTAGCAATCAGGAGTAACACTGCTGCTCCTCGTGGGAGGAGAGGACAGTTGTGCTGCTCTTCAGAGGGACCTCGGCGGAGAAATAGGCTGATGATGGGAATCTCACGATGCTCAAAGGGAAAAAGCAAAGTCCTGTGCCTGGGGAGAAATAACCCCATGCACCAGTGCAGGCTGGGGACCAAGCAGCTGGAAAGCAGGTTGGCAGAAAAGGACCTGATGGAAAACGAGTTGAACGTGCATCAACAAGATGTCCTTGTAGCAAAGGTGGCCAACAGCCTCCCGGGCTGTATTAGGAACAGCGTTGCCAGCAGGTGAAGAGATGCAGTCCTTTGATCTTTCCCCTCTTCTTGGCACTGTGGACACCACAGCTGCAGTGCTGTGTCCAGCTCCCCTGGACCAGGGAGACACCAAGGTACTGGTGCAGGGCTGCTGAAAGGCCTCGATGGTGATTAGGGGATGAGGGAGTTTGAGCTGCAAGGGGAGGCTGAGAGAGCTGGGACTGCTCAGCATCAAGAAGGAAAAGCTGAGGCAGAGTGATCTTAAAAATGTGAAGATATCCCTGGCGGTAGGGAGTACAGAAGACAGAGCCAGACTCTTCTCAGTGGTATCCAGCAACAGGACAAGAGGCAATGGGCATAAAACACATGAAATTCTGTTTAAAGGTAAAAGAATTCCACCTTTTAACTGTAACTGAACCCCAGAACACGTTGCTCAGAGGAGCTGTGAAATCTCCACCTTTGGAGATACCCAAAACCCAACTGGAGACAGCCCCGAGCAGCCTGCTCTGGTTGACCCTGCTTTGGAGAAGGGGTTGGAGTGGGTGATCTCCAGAGGTGTCTTCCAAACTCAGCCATTTGGAGCCTGTCAGGAGTTCGGAGCTCTCAGTTGAAGTCATTCGGTTTCTGCTCCCCAGACCACATCCATCTTGTAGATATTTCAGAGTTTCTCGCCACAGCACCCTTTCCCTGCTCAGTATTTTTAGCTCATTGTTTTGTGTTTTGCCAGCTGAGAAACTGCAGTTTGTAATTTTACCTTCAGCTTCATATTTCTTCTTAAAAGTGAATACAATGTCCTGTTTATAATAATAAAATCACTAGTTGGCAGGATGACATCAAATGGAAAAAGAGAAAGCAACTGGAAAATTTAGAGCAAGCAATTTTGAGTGCCAAGTTTCACATTTGTAATAGTCCAGCGGAGGTCAACAGGCTCACTTATTATTAGGCAAATGGTAAAGAAACAGATATCCTCAAGTTCTTCCATGTTAGACTATATAAACCAACTCTACTCGAACAGGCTCTGGCGCTTTCCAAAAAAGTGATGTTATACATTTTCCACAGTAACACCGACAATGGGAGAGCAGCAAAAGGCAGAACTGCTTTGCAAAGAACGGCCTTTTTTCTCTCTCCAATATTTAGGTTTTTGTTTCCCACTATGATCGGACTTTCCTGGCTTTAGTTTCTTGTCCCAGTTAAGCAGTAAAGGAAACAAAAAGATATGAATGAAATTAGAAACATTTGGAATAAGGCTTCGAAATAGTTTTTGGGTTTCTTAAGATTCCTGGCTACACCTCTTCAAATGGCCTCATCCTCCAGCCCCCAGCTCTTGCACTCACCTCCAAAATTTGCATTTCCTCCTTTGCCCTGACCCCTCTTCTGTTCGGAGGCTGTATTTTGTCCCACCACATTGAAATACCAAGTGCAAAGGAAAGCAAACAAGGACACGAAAATTACATGTTGAAACACTGGAAAAGACCGGAAAATGGTTGAAACTTTGCACCCATCAAAACGTGTCTCTGTGACACTAATCCTCCAATGCTTCTCCGAAAGCAGAACCCAAACAATTCTCCAGCTTCTAATGAAAAAATACCAATTCCAGTCAACCTGAATAATAAAACGGGAACTCTGGTCCTATCTGCATTATGACATTTGAAGTCTCTGGAAGGGAAGTTTCCTCAACCAGGCTATTCTGATACCTGATGAAACTCCACGCTCTCCATGAAATACAACTGCAGAATGAAATGCCAACACCCAATACTTGCCTGGTGCTTTTCACTACGAGTTTTTGGTGCTCTTTACAAACAAGTAAGCTGGGATTGCCCATGAAATACCTGCCTAATTTTACAAATAGCACAGGCAAAAAGCAGATGTCCAGGGCAAAACTGCGCTGGTAGCAGAGCAGAGAGTTAAACCAGCTACAAGATTTCAAAGCCGTCCACGAGGTTTGGATCTTTTCTGCCTTAAGTAATATTAAAATATTATCTAAACCTTTCTTTGTGAGCCATTACTGGAGAAATAAGGAGGGGGAAAAACCCAAAAAAGATGTCTTGGAAGCGATTCTACAGAGGCTCTGTAGGTGAGATCACAGCTGCTATCCAAACAGGCTGTGCATGGCAGGAGCAGGCTGCCTGTCAAGCTGAACAACTTGCAGGAAGATCAAGGAACATATTTACAAGATGGCATGGGCAAAATATCTTTCCTTCCTCTTTGCACAGCCTCAGCAGCTTGGGCAAACACACGTTTTAAGTAAAACCACACTCACAAACGCCTCTGGTGCAGAACCTCCACCCCCATGCTCTACGCACTGACTCAGACCCGACCACACTGGGGACACTGGCGTGCAGAACAAGTTACCCTCTGGGGAGGAGAGGGCTGAAATGGTGAAGGGAAACAAGGAAAAGTTATCTCAGGAAAACACCAGAAAACCCAAGGCTTTGCTTGGGTTTCGGTCCCAAATTCCAAAAAATTACAGAAACCTGTTACAGAACTGGAGAGGATTTACTTGAGATAAGTCTTTTTAAGCCAAGCTCTAATTGATGTTTACTGCAGTCAGGTGAGCAATGTGTAACTGAAGCAGGATGAGCTATCTGGAAAGGTTAACGTGGCTGTTTCAGGAGGAAAGATGAGCCTTTATGTCATTGTAATTTATCTGTATTTATGTCCTGACAGATCCACATGGACAAAGAACAGCAGAGATGGGCACTGACAGAGGACGCTGCCATTGAACGTGGTGTGAGCTCCGCTGGAAACCAAGGCACAACTCCCCCATGGACCCAGAGCAGACACCCAGGTCTCCAACCCCACCCATCTACAATTAATGCGTTATTTACTAATAAAACTCATCTTCTCCTGGGCCCACAAACCTCTCGCTGTGTGGTAACAAAAGAAGAAGATTCATCTGTGGTTTACTTTCCATAACCAGAAGTCTCATGTCATCTCCATATGTGTTTAGACCACAAACTAGTTAGTCAGCGGTGTGGCAGCTGACATTAAAAGGATTAGTAAATTAAGCTCAAATAATTGTCTTAAAAACCTTGACTGTTAAATGTTTATATTTGAGAGGATCAAAAGGAAATCTACTTTGTAGTGTGCACTGTGGTCGGGAAGGGGCAGAGAGGGATTTCAATGGCTTAACTGCAAAACTGTTATCACCTTGATAAGTCCCAGTGTAATAATTCAGCAGTAAGAGCAAGAAATGCACTTGGAACTTGTTTCCAAAACTGACTGTCTGACTGGAGACAAGTCAAACTCTTTATTTGCTTGAAAGAACTTGGTCAGAAGAAACAGCAAATGCTACTGAAATGTAGTCAAGAATATAAAAATAAGCACTTTCAGTGACTTCTGAACTGCAGCTTTCAGTATCTTCTTTTATTTTAAAGCTACTTGAAGTCTGGATCTGCTATTTGAGTCAATCAGGAGCGTGATTCTCCCCTGAATTATTGCACTGCATGGCAATGGACACCCAGTGAAGGTGAAGCAGTGAGGAGGTTGCAGGCTACAGTGCAGGATTAGGTCCAAAATAACATCTGGAGTCCAGGTTCAGATACAAATGTCTGCAGTTTTATCAGCTTATGCACTCAAATTGCTACATCCATGCCAATATCACAGATAAATGAGGAGGGAGAGGAGCTTGCTACATGCATGTAGGTGCTTGCTTGAGGAATCGGGCTCGTGGGGCTGTTTCACCTCAGCAATATGTGAGAAAGCAATGAATCTGCCAACGGAGACAGGATGCTCCAGCAAGGCTGGGAGTGGGAGATACCACATCATCTTAGTAATGCAGTTATTGCTTGAGACAGGATGCTCCAGCAAGGCTGGGAGTGGAAGACACCACATCATCTTAGTAATGCAGTTATTGCTCTGATTTCTTGCACCTTCCTTTATTGCAAAAGCGAGGTTCTAAACAAATTACCTTTTTTTGCCTTTAAATCTATTCTAGCAAAGACGTCTCTGATCTCTGATGCTTGGAAGTGCAGCAAATCCATGACTTTTGGGTAGACCAGCGATGTCAGAGCATCCACCACCCAACAGACCATGGGGTTCCCAAAATCTAGTGGATCATCACTAAATTACAGGGATGGGGAACAGGAGGCAGGCAGAGAGCACAGAGCTGCCAGGCTACATCAAGAGCTGTCATAAACTCCACATGACACCGGCTCTCCAAAGCAGAGAAAAACGTTGAGACTAGACAGGAAAACGCAGGACGGTCTCTACCTGTGCTTAAGTTTCAAAGTAACAATGTCCAAGATCATTTGATCTGCCAGGCATTCAGAAAAATCTCTGCTATAAAACTACCGCTAGAATACGTAATGCATTCCAAAGACACAAAGCTTTCACATTAGGTGCCAAACACCAAATTTTCAGATTTCTATAGTCCTTTTGAGAAAAAGCCTCTTTGCCTCACAAAATACTTCTCCAAATAATGGATCTTTTGGGTTTGTAGGTACTTTCAAAAGCAGTTTCTTTCCATCCTAGCACGGGTAAAGTGCAACACAGTACATATGTAATAAAGTCAGAGCCTTTTCACAGTGCAATGAAAGCAAAACAACACAAAATAACTCTGCCCCAGCCCAAGGAGCGTCAGACCGTGCTTTTTGTCATTACCTTAAATCTCTTCTTTTGGCCAGCTCTCCCGGTGAGATGGCCCAGGGCAGGCTCTGGGGAAGACACGCCAGGGCTTCGGGGGAGAAGTCGGAGAAATCCACGCCGTACTCCGTCAGGATCCCTTCCGTTTCCGGCTCAATCTCCCCGGCCTGCCCGAGACTTTTGGCCAACTGCCTGCAGAAAGAAAGGAAACGATGCTTTTGTAAAGTGTATAATTACTATCGTCTCATTCCTGTCCCCGCAGAGAGGCCGCTGAGCCCTCACACTCTTTTGCCCATTCACTTCTCCCTGAGTTTTGGCAGAGGGCTTTGCAGGAATTCAGACCATGACTTATGTCTGCTGGACATGCAAAACACCAGTCAGACACTACCCAGGGCTGTTTGGTGCATCTCATTTTAAGGAGATGTTTTATATTATTAGGTTTTTTCCAGAGGTGAGAAAGAGACAAATTTTAGAAAGAAAATACATCGAACAGGGATAAGAAAGAGGCAGCTCTAGCTTTACACACAGCTGGTTCCCTTGAGATTCTCCTTCCTCTCCTCACCACTGAAAAAGATGCCTCCCTGCTACTATCTGCAATAGAAAAGGCACCTAGCAGACTGCAGACAGCTCAGCACACTGCTCTGCATCCCAGAGGATACACTGCTCTGCTTGGGCAAATCAACACCCCATGAGGACAAGGCTGTGAAGGACCCTCACCGCCTTCCTTACAGGAGTCACACACGCAGACGTGCCCACACGTCGTCTGCCCAACCTTTTTCCCGGCTCTTTCCAGGACCAAAATGCTCTCAGTAGTCTGTCCCTCCTGGCTAAGCAGAAGCCTCTGAGCCAGGAGCCAACTGAAGACGAGCCAATGATTTAGAAACAAGTCATAGAGAGGGGAAACTGTCCCCGACACGCTAATAGTCCTTGATGAGGTATTCTGCACACATGTGGATGAAGCTGCTGCTCTGTTATGCTCAGAGAAAGTTTCCATCTGCTCCAGTGCAAACCCCAGCACGCGTTTGTCCACGAGCTCTGGTGTCAAACCAGTGATCGGGTCTGCACACAGCGGGCAAACCAGGACTCCAAAAAAAGGGGACATTTCTTCCCCCCCTCTCTGGTTACAAATATTACCTGAGAACCTATGTCCCATGGTGGCTTCCCTTGTCCCCTTTCTCACCCCCAGATTGCTCTACAGTACACTTCTTTCTTTTTTTTTTTAATATACTGCCATTAGGGCAAATGGGACATTACAGCCAATAGAGATAACGCTCCCAACCCAAGAAAATTACAACTGGAATTAAGGCAAATCCATCAGAATATGACACAAAAGAGAGGGGTAATAACACAGCACAAAAACAGCCACTCTAATAAGTATTTTTCCACTGCATAAAATACACAATCATTATATTGATCCTTCTGCTTTAATTCCAATGAGCGAGAACAGGCACTAATTACTTTCCTAAACTGGGGCCAAAACAGTGCACTTGTCATTTGGACAAGTGAGATGCTCTCCGGGCTTCAAATGTGCCATAAAGCCCCAGAACAAACCCCATCCGCGCAGCCCATCTTCTTTATGGGAGCAAAGCCATCGCTCTTCACGACGGGAAGGGCTGCGCAATAAACCTGTCACGCCAGGTAACGCGCTGGGAAAGATTGCGCGCTTCGCGGCGTGGTAAATTGTCGAGTTCCCATTGCCCGGCTTTAAAATGAAAACGAAAACAAGGATAAAAGATATTTCCCTCCATTGTTTCAATTTTATGTACAAACTGTATGGCAGAAATACGTGTGTTTGGCACCGACACCGAGTTCTCTGTTCCTGCAGCTCGGTCCCAGTCTGATCCTTATTTTAATGTAAATAAACGAGGCATCGGTTTTATCTCCCTCTCTCTCAGCAGTAAAAATAAACCAGAGAAATCAACACTTCATTTCCAAAAAAAAGCTTGGACCGCGCAAGGACGAGCCTGTGGATGTGCAGACCCACCAGCACCACCCAGGATGGATCGAAAAAAGAAATCAAGTAAAAGAGAGGGCACGTTGGGCTACCAAAAAGAAATGGCAAGGGCTTGAGTCTCAGGTGCTCCTTCTCCTGGGAAGTGCACCAGGAGGGCGGCTGGACGTCTGCACCACAAGTCATGGAAAGCGCCTCTGAATGCTTTCCAGCTCAGTCTTGAAACCCATGTTCTCTTGATCCGTTTACTGAAATTAGATTACGAACCTTAAGGGGTTTACCCAGAGGTTTGATATAGGACTAATATTTTTTTAATAGTAATTAACATTTGATTTACGGTGTTCCAGGGAACATTTCCCAAGTGCCTTGAAATAAAAAAGCGTACGACTGACTTTAATTGGGGCCATGTTACAGTCACGCAGACGCGATGACTTGCATCAGAGCACAATCTGACAGCACAGCATGTGATCAAAGGTAACACATATAGGATCACCGATGGCCCCGGAGTAACAGCCAGGCTGTAAAATCACTCCTGGGTAGCAAGAATAGTTCAAGAGGCTTACAAACAACAACAGGCACGGGGCCCAGCGGCGCTCAGACGTCCTCTCCCAGGGAGTCGTGGCATCCGTGACACCCCAGGCTTGCACTATCTCCTTTTTTTGAAATGTTAAAAGGTAAAAAAATATTATAATGGTTACAGACGCAAACATTTCTGCTCTGTGACGTTGATGGGGGAGCATTAGAGCACGCTGGAGGGTTCTTTGAACACCCTTGGCCTGAGGTCAGATGCGGTGGCAGTTTGACCTCCCATGCCCTCTCCGCTCCCCAGACTCCGCGGAAACTGGCCAACATGCTCACAGGTTGCACTGTAAGAATTCTCCAAAAAGGCAAAGCATCACTACATGGGGCTTTGTTTCCTTTGGAAAGACAGGCAGGCTCCCAAATGGGAGTGAATAACTTCCATGGGGACTTCACAACCTCACTCAAGCTCTCCCGGAGCAGACTTGTCCACACTCATCCTAAATCCTTCTCTCAGCAGCAGAACGTCCTACACAGCCATAACCACTGCTCCCAGAGGAAGCTTGCCCAGGAGCAGGAGAGGGGACAGCGAGAAAGACAGAATCACCGAATTGTTAAGGCTGGAAGAGACCTCTAAGATCACCAGGTCCAACCTTCAACCCAACCCCACCATGGCCACATAACCATGTCCTGAAGTGTCACATCCAGGCGCTTCTTGAACACCTCCAGGAATGGGGACTCCACCACTGCCCTGGAAGAAGACCACCACCACCCGGCTGCTCCCACCACCCACAGCCCAGAGCTCACAGGCAGAGCTGCAAGGCTTGACACAGCCCCAAGGTCCCCATAGAGATCATGAGATGTCTGCAGGGCTGAGCATCATGGAGACAGAGCTGCATCACGGGAACCCCTGGTGCCCAAGAGGATGGTCCAGCGCCACTCCACATCATGGAGCTGCCTCCATTCAAGCTGCCATGGGAGCACAGGAGTGCCATGGTGCTCCCCATGGTGGCAAGATCATTCCCCCATTTCAGAGGGGTACAGTGATCCGCTGTGCTGAGGGAACACGGCTTTCCTGAGAGACAGCCCCATCTGCAAGAAGGTGTTTTTCCAACAGACCTACCCTGCTTTCCTCAAGCCTTACAGTGAGCCACCCAAGGTATCCAGTCACTTCCTCTCACACCAAATACATTTGTGAATTAAAAACAAACCACAACAAAATGCCACAGATGGAAGGACTTCAAGCCCTGGGATGGTTTTGGAAAAAGCGTCAAGCGAAAGAACATCCTGCAAAGTTTCATGCTATCGCGAATGCTGTGACAAATCTTGTCACCCTGACAGACCAATACCTTATGTCTTGAGCTAAAACAGCCACAAGCCTCAGGTGACACACAGGGAATCCGTGATTTGACATTTTACTGCTACATTTTTTTTTGACAGTCTCATCCATCATCATCCGTGGGGGCAAATAAACCAAAAGGCTCCACCTTAACCATGGCCAAAAGTGTGGAGATGTCTGGAGTAATCCTCCAAACACCCTTGGACTCCAACGCTGAAAAAAAGTCTCCAGAAAATACGTGTATGTAGCAGTACTTGTGATATTTATCTGGAAAAGAAGAGCATTTGGGAGCTGTTTTTACTTCACCTGCTACCTGAAGCAGATGCAGCTGAATGGGATTGCACTGCCATAGTAAAATTGCTTCACATGTAGGAGGGAGCAGAGCAGCACACACCCAGGGCATCACCAGTGGGACATGGGGACATCAGTTCCTCCCCGCTCCTTCCCAGCACAGCCAAGGTGACAGGGTGGCCTTCAGAGGGGACAGTGTCTCAGCGGTGACCACCAGGTGGCAATCACGACACAGAAACGCACCCCCCTCCCCAGGGGCACCTCCAGGGGCTGCCAGGTTGCCCCTGTGCAGGTGACCAGCCTGGGTGGCCAGTGCCACCGCCGAACTCTTGGCCAGGGCACGCCACTGCTCCAGCCACACACAGCCACTGGGAAGACCAGAATATGCTGTGAACTGTGCTTGGAAACCCAGCACTGAGGAAACCCAGGGAAAAGGGAAGCTGAGGAAGGAAGGTGTGTGAGCAGCCTGGGGAGTTCGTTCAGCTGCAGGATGGAGAGGACCTGGAAACACCAAAGGTGTCCAGAGGAAATGATGGCCAACTACAGAGGAGTCCCCTTGTTGTGCTTCCAGCAGACACAGACGGTACAGAGCGATGTCCTATGGGCTCTGTAGTCCAGAAACTTCCAAAACGATGGTGCTGCTGCCAAAGCAGCATCATGAAGTCTGTGGGCAGAACTAAGGGGTGCACAAGTTCAAAAACACAAGCGTGCAATGAGTTGCAGATCATCTGCTCATCTCTCCTTCAGGTGGGCCATAGCTGCTAACACAGCCTATAAACCAGCCCAGAAGCAAACAGGAACTTTTGGGACCTTCAAGGGGTTTCCCTGTCTTTCAGTGTTTAACCAAGCACGTATTTATAGTTAAAAACATGATGGGTCACCAAGGCTTTATTCTCCCATCTCCACGAGGCACTTACTGATGTGCAACCAAGCCCCAGAGGAAACGGCAATGTATGAAGGCAATCATGGATGTTTTCTTTCCTGACAACACCCTTTACATCTTGGAAACTACCAAAACAGCCAGATGAGAATATACAATGTTGTCAGAAGCACAGATTAAAGACATTAGCCCATCCTCCTAACTTCCCCTGTTTCTGCTGAAAACGGGGGTTGTTCATGACAAGGAGCCAAGCAGTACAATCACCCTCCAGTCTTCTCTCTGTTGGAATCAAAGACGACAAATTAAAACTCTGCCAATAACAAATTTAGTCACAGTGGAGTTCACGGCACAGCCAGCCCCTGGTTAAGTTCAGGTCACGCATTGCAGTTTAGCTGGGAAATGCTGAGTGACTTAATGGCTCATGGGGCTTTCAAGGAGTACACGTGAAACTTGCTATTGCTACACACACAAAGCAGACACCACTGTTAACAAACTCAGACTCAGGGAAACACGGGCTTTGGTTTAGTTTACTTTTAGTTTTAGGGCTGATAGATCTGTGCCAACATAGTTAGTTTAAAAAAAAAATGTTTTCTGTAGTTTTACCAGGAGTTTGAGCTGCGGACTCCAAAATCCATGGTACTGACACTGTACATCAGCCAACTTTGCAAGGAGCAGGGAAAAGTTGGGTTTTATGCCTAACTCCATGCTCCAGAATACGTGCAGAGCCCCATCACCTGTAAAATTTGACCACAGGTCAGAGTTACCTACTCTGGACCACCAACTAAACCAGATCTACTCAGTTTTTGGCAAGATAACTGAATCAATGTATCAATGTCCACCGTTTCTTACTGAGACCCACTCTCAACAGAACACAGCATGGCCACTCCAGATGGGTGCTTGGCACACTGCTGCCGTTCCCAAGAAAGAGTGAAAATGCGGAAAACTACAGGATCAAAAGAGAGAGGCAAAGTGAATTTGCACCCAGCATACAGGCCATGAGTCCTGGCTTTAAATCTCCTTCACGGTGGTACCTGCAATTTGAACTACGGACAGCAGTGAAAAGCAGAGATTGCAACACCCTTCTCATTTTCCTCAGGAGTGAATGAATCTTCTCTTGATTTCTAGTATCCTTCCTTGAAGCAATGCAAATTTAAAACCACAGAAATCCATTACTTTTTTTCAACTTTTTCTCAGTAAAGGCTTAAAAACCAAAGATGAGCCTCACAGCTACTATCTTCTTCCTCTGGCAGAAGTGAAATCATAGAACCATAGAATGCATTGGGTTGGAAGGGCCCTTTAAAGCTCATCCAGTCCAACCCCTGCAGTCAGCAGGGACATTGGTACCAGATCAGGTTGCTCACAGCCCCATCAAGCCTGGCCTTGAACGTCTCTAGGGACAGGGCCTGGACCACCTCTCTGGGCAACCTGTGCCAGTGATCTACCACCCTCATATTCATGAACTTTTTCCTAATATCCAACCTAAATCTACTCTTCTCCAGTTTAAAACCCCTACCCCTCGTCCTATTGCTACACGCCTGCACACTTTGTACTCCTCTTACACAAAGAGAGGAAAGCCCACAGTGCTTGTGTTGGTCAGGCCGAGTACCTGTGTGTGTTCCCTCTGAATTGCAAGCTCTTCTGAGCAAAGACCATGCACTCAGCAATGCCGTGATGCACCAGCACGCTGAAACATCACCACCAGAAACTAAAATTATATAGCCATGAGATTAACCAGCAATAAGCTATCACAGTTTATCCTCCAAATACCAGAGGGATACAAGACAAGTATCTTGCTAACCGATTCCTGTGTTTATTGCGTGTATCAAACTAAGTGAAACCAGGAACTCCCAACCAGAAACCTCTACTTCCAACAGCAGCCACGTACCCTGTTGCAAAGTTGCTGTCTTCTTTCCAGTCCACGATGCGGCAGATGAAGAGCATACTGGAATAGTCCTCAGGCCTGGCCATGAAGTCTGGGGGGCATTCGGCCAAGGACACGTAGGCCCTGGGCACTCTGTGGTCCACAGGTGAGAACATGGCACATCTCCTGAAGAGTTCGCTGTTCTTGTCTGCCAGAAGCTTGATGAAGCCCGTAGCTGCCCGGGAATGCTTCTTTTCCAAAATATAGACCACCTGGAAAAGGCAAAGGTTTCTAGTTAATACCTGCACAGAAACTGATTTTCTCTAACAGAATAGGGATACACAGAGGCTTAGCAGAGTATCTGGAAAAATCACATGGCCTATATCACATTTTCCCTGTTTGTGTATACGTGTGTGTGCATTTTATAACCAAATACCTATTTACAATGCATATTCCTTGCCATCTTGCTTGTGGCTATAGAAGAGCTAAGTGCCTTCCAAGTGTTAGCTCTCTGCAGCAATTGTCTTGATTACAGAACAAAACCAGACCAGAAGCAGATGCTTCCAAATGCAGGGAATTAGCCACAACATACAAGCAACTCCTCTGAAATCTTTCATTTGCATCCCCGATTTCAACATTCAGCGCAGAACAGGCCAGTCCAAAAACAGTGCTGCTGTCAGATCCAACACTAACCACAGGAAAGGATGTGCTGTGGGGAATTTGGCAGTTCTCTCCTCCTCTCTGTGCTTTCTGAAGTTAGGGGTTATTTTACCTTTATACAAGATGGCTTTGAAAAGAATAATAAATTACAATATCACTAAATAATTGTTCCAAAGAGGTGTTCATCCAGGCTGTATTTTTGCAGCCCATAATAAATCACTGGATAACAGAAATATTATAGCTGATTTCCTAAGCTTAGACAGAAGAGTCCTTCCAGAAGGTTTCAGGAGCTGTACCTCGGTGCAATGCTGGATGAGAGCAGAGGGCAGCCCAGCCCACAACAGGGACCGGTATCAGGGGCTGCAAGGGAAAGCACACGACATGGAAGAGACCTGACCCAGCCTGACCCAGGAGTCCTCTTCTGGTCTCTTAACAAAGATTGACTCAAATCTACAATCAACAGCCTTTCCAAAGTCTGTAAGAATTCATTCTGACAACTTTGGATATCCTGACACTCATATTCGTATCCAATCTTTTTCTCTGAATCTTGCTAAGTAATTCTGTGCAACAAAAAAAAAGAAATTTAAACGAGGATAATTGGTAAAAATAACAAGACACTTGATTTTTATCAGATTGGACAACTACTCTCTTTGAAATGGGGAATGAGATTCAAAGATCAACAGATGGAGACTATGAGGAGGCCAGGGCTGGTCTCCTCCAGCCTCGGGGAGCACACATGGGCTCACTTGTGGCTCCATGGGGTTACCTTGGCCGTCCTTTGAAGAAACTTCTCTGGGAGGAGCCTGGGATCGTTCACCTTGGGTCCATCGTCTTGCTTCGTTTTCTGCACACCACCAACCCCAACCGCCTTCACTGCATCAAACGAGACAAACACAGTTGTTACCATAGCACATTTCTACTGTGAAGCCATGCTGAGCCTTTGCTGTACGCTACAATACAAGGTGCGTGCAGCAGACGTATTTGAAAGGAAAAAGGTCTCTGAAATGTTAGAATAGCCAAGATGAAGCAATTATTACTTCTCCAGACTGCCACAGACAGCAGATATATGTTCACTTACCACGCAGATCTGCTGAAAAACAACAAGAATAAAAAAAAAAATCCCAATTTTACAACTACAACTAGACCAGTCATAATAAACAAAATGGTGGAAAACACATTCTGTTTATTAAATACCAAGAACTACATGGATTTCCTGGTATTTCTTAGTTGGAGTCATTAACATTATATAAAAGTGCATTTAGTGTTTATAAACACCCAAAGTGATCTTTGCCATGGAGAAGGCTGGGACTGGTCCCTTCTTGAGTAGCATCACTGCAGAGAGCCCATGGTCACTGCTCTGACACTGGTTTTTAGGTGGAAAAATCCGTGTGCTCTTCTGCATAGGGCCCATGGATGACATTTTCCACCTGTATGGCAACAGCGTCCATCTCAAGCACGTGTGCGAAAATCAAGCCCTGAGTGTTCAAAAGAAATTTTGCTGCCTTAAACAGAGACCCTGTCACCAATGCCAAGTTTCAAGGGACAGAGCTGTCACCGTTTCCCTTAGAAGACACGAGATAAAGCAACATTTCACCAAAGACTGTGCTCCAGCAGGCTAACGGCGCTCACGCGTGCCAG